GAATTCTGATTTTTAAAGGCTGCTCAGGTAACTGCGTAGTTTTACGGCTGTGCTGTGGCAGCCATTGCTTCCAGCTGAAGTTTAGGTAGCTCAAGCTCAATTCGCTTCTCTTTCAAGCTCTTCTTTTTCTTTCTTCTCTTTCGTTCGTTTTCTTTCTTCTCTTTCGCATTTTTTTCCCTTTTTGTTCTCTTTCTCTTTCTTCTCTTTCGTGCGTTCTTTTTTCTTTCTTCCCTTTCTTCTCTTTCGCTTCCTTTTCTCTTTTCTTCTTTTCGCGTTCTTTTTCTCTTTCTTCTCTTTCTTTTTCGCATTCTTCTTTTCTTTCCTTTCTTCTCTAATTGCAGCCAGTAGTTCTCGAGTAAACTCATCATAATCGGAACTTTCAGTAATCAGTTTATGCAACTGAGCAATCTTAAATTCAGGTTTCACGTTAAACCTAACTTTCTGCCAGTACTTTTAAATCCTGTTTTTTACTCCTGGCTAAGAATGACGTGTTGAGCAAGTTACCTTTAATAGGCTTTCTTTTGAAAATTGAATCTAAAAGATCATACTTGTATTGAAAACGTATAATTTATGCAATGACTTAACTTGTCAAATACGAAATTCGTTCTAACCAATTGGAGAGAGAATTATTTAAACAACTTTGCCAGGCTGGCACAAAATAATATAATACTACGTCGGGTTGACGTTTTAACTTCACTATTCACAAGCCTCCTTAGCTATTGCTCTATAAACACCTTTGCCAGTTAGGCAATACAATGGAATTTTACCCACGTCAGTTTGACGACTTTACTATCTATCTCCACGCCTGGTTGGCGATAACAAAGACAATTTTTGCCAGTTTGGCAATACAACTTTTAGAATATACAATCTGTAATACGTCGGGATGACGTTACTATCTACCACACGCCTGGATGGCGAGAACTAAGAAAAAACCTTTTGCCAATTCTGCAGTATAATCAAATCACACTACGTCAGTTTGACGTTATTACTTATTTTCCACGCGCCTGCTCGGCGACAAATTCAAAATTCAGCTAGCAGTTCTTTTTTCTTTTTTTTTTTATGAACGCCGGGATGGCTTACACATATCAATTATCAACATAAAAATTCAATACAAATAAAAGTAAGCATAATAATAATTTTAAAATACTTCTTTACCACAAATATCAATTATAAATTTAAGCTGAATATTTTTAGTGTCAGTTATTTTAAACAAAATCTTACACAATAACTATAATTCTGAAACAAGTATTAAATTCAATAAAATCTTTTTTTAAGAAAACCAAAAGTTATCTTATCTTCAGAGATCAGCAGTATCCTGTTTTGACAGATTTTTGCTCGGACGCAAGTTATAGAAGCACAGAAGATAACCTTTGAATGATCTGCTTCAAATCTGGCTTTAAAACGGCAGACTTCATACATCCATTTCTCCTTGAAATAATCAAACTCTGCAATTGGTATTAGCAAACTTGTTCTAAAAAATTCAGCAAATTTCAGGAGACCAGCACCATCGAAATTGATAATTGCACTCCTAATTTCCAGGATCTCGGTGGAACCTCCAATTAATTAAGACTGTAATGTACTTGCAGTAATTTACAAAACAGACAATCTTCTTAGTAGAACATAAATTTTATTTCTAGTTCACGGTGATAGACAAATTTTATACAATTCTTAAGTGGCAAAATTTTCATACTACTCCTAGCTGTAAAAATCTTCAGAATCTAATCTTTTAAAACAATATCTCACGTTGCTGAGTAACGGTTTAATACAAATATGGCGTTGCCACTTCAACAATAATTATATTTATTTATTAAATAACAAGATATTACAATACTTTCGAAATTTTGATTATTTTGACTATTAAAAAGGACTTATGAGTTCAAGTTCGTAAAACATCAAAGATATTGAATGTGATATTTACTCTAAATTCGTTTTATATACATTGTTCGGGAAAGTCTTTATACTTTAGTCTACATGTGTACTTCCAATCAGAGACCGATTTACAAAATTAGAGAGCTCCGGGATAAAGCCTTCTAGAAAGTCCCGGCCCCCATTTTTTAATATAGTAGATATTAATAATTCAAGTAATATACCACAGGTTATGAAATTACTTAATAAATCTATATTTTTTCTTTTTATTATTATATAAACAAAAAGTACATTTTACTTTTCGTATATTTGGTTTTCTTGCTTTCATTTCAAACAAAGATTTGGTTTCCTATTTATTATAAACGAAAAGGGCAAGACGAAATCAGTGCATTTAATTTGCTTATGGATTTAGTAATAAACTGTATGAAAAATATGTAGAATTTAATAAATCGGTTCCCCCCTACCACCGTTGAAGAAATTTTTCTCCTTTTCTCACCAGCATGGAAGAGAAACTTCCTATTCCTACTTTAAAATTATAAAAAATAAAAATACACTGTATATTAACAATATCTCTCGTCAGTGGCTTGAGAGGCAGTGGCTCAGTAACTGATTACAAGAAAGATAGGAAAAGTCAAAGCATTACGTTTAAAATTTTATCTCCTCTTTCTAATTTTGTATGTTTAAAATCTTGAATTAAAAACTATATAAAATTTTACATATTTTGAAAACTGTAGAAGGATTTGGGGGCTTCCTTGAAAATGGAGATTCGGGGTGTTTATCCCTTTTATCGTTGCGTAAATCAAGCCACTCTTCCAGCTGCAGTGTTTCTTAGAGTGGTAAAGAATTTTATGAAAACAGTTATACTACGCAGGGCTTCATAAACTGTCATGCAATAAGCACCACTTCTTCAGCAAATTAAGCTTCTTTTTATCATCTTAACATAACTCCAGCTTCTTTTTGTCACCTTAAGCTAAATAATTAGGCAAAGAGGTATAGGATTTGAACGCAAAAGAAATATTATATATATATGTTACTGTGAAAGACCGAAATTTGGAGAATGTCGACATTCACCGGTGAATGTCAACATTCACATAGTCACTTGGTGTATGTCCAAAATATGTATTATTTGCCAAGTATTCTTATTTCTGACTTAACCGGCAAATGTCGACATTCATCATGCACTAATGGTGAATGTTGAATATGTCGGAGATTTACATTTAGTTTTCCATATTTCAAACGCGATAAAACTTCATATGGGTTACCTAACTTTTTCATCTGTCTTACTGAGAGGAGTAACCAGTTTCGGTGAGGAGAATTGTTCGTAACTCTGTAGAGGCGTTTTCACTGCGGAACATGTAGCTTTAGATTCTAACATGAGAAGGACTACTCGATAATACTTGCCTTTTTAATAATGACAGCAGTTGTGCTCGGATAAATGTTAAACATTTAGCTCCAAGTTTAGCCGATGAAGATTTTTTTTTTACTATTGCATTTATACCGTATATGTCAAAGTACGAAAAAGCTTAAGTAACAGCACATGTAAATAATTTTTTGAACTTAAACAGTATATTCTAAATGAGAAAAGAAGCTAAAAAACTTAACTATGTGATTTAAATCTTATTTATTGCAACAACTTAAACTTTTATGACATTTTGAATTGCACAAGAGTCCCTTGCTTTTACAACTGCATTTAGTAGTTACACACTTCCTTTTGCAGTGACAGCGTGTATAGTCTTGCCCTCCACTTCTCGAATTAGCTGCAGCTGCTTCTCTCAGCACCATTTCTTGAGAAGAAATCTCATCTGTGGAAAGTAACTTTTCTTCACAAATTACGAACTGATTACGGGTATAAAGCTGCTTGAAGGTTCCATTTTTATTTGCTGGTGTATAAAAGTCGGAATCTTCTATTTCAACAACAACTGCCAACACATTTTGGCCAACTCTACGACCACGATCGACATCAGGGACTTGTATTCGTACGGTATCACAAATTTGAGCAGGAGGAAATATTTTTTTGAGGTTTGTAACATTTTCGTTGCTTGCAGTAGAAGATTCTCTTTCTGCGGCCGATCTTTTTATACAAATTGTATTGCTCAGTCAGGGCTTGATATGAAGACGTGGTAGGTTGCAGGTCCTCTTCAATATTTTTCTTTGGAATATGGTTTTCGGCATGGCCACTGCTCAAATTTTCTTCAAAAGTATTAACAGATTCTTCAAGCTGTTCTTCGGTTTTAAAAGTATTAGCAATTTCTTCGTGTTGTTCTTCGGTTTCAATATTTGCGATTTGTTCGCGAAGCAAAAAAAGACGATGCTATGATGCTTCTTCTTGGTTTCATGCCAAACATGGCTTAATAAGGACTTTGGCGTATTCCTTCATGATATGTAGTGTTCTTGGCAAATTGAACAAAGGGCAAGCCATCTGACCATTTATTTGTATCGTTTTCGTTCATCCATGCAGTTAACATATTCTGTATATCCTAAATAGGCCTTTCAACTGCGGCTTGTGTTTGACTATGATGAGGCTTTCCATGAACTATCTTAACATCTTCCCACATATCGCATAGTTCGGATATGACTTGATTACTGAGTTTTCCTACCGTTATCTGAATGCAATATAGGAGCATCAAATGTTAAAAATATTTGAAGAAGATGATGCGCTACTTCTTCATCTGTCTTAGTTTTCAATGGTTTTGTAGCTGGACAAACTTAGGTAAATGATCTTGAGGCACCATTATGATCTTGTATTCGCCATCACTGTGTGACTGCAGGTCCATCAGATCAACTTGACATCTTGAATTTAACTCGGAACTGACCATTGGTTTCACAACAGTACCTTTCTTAGATGCACTATGCTTCATTTGACATTGTTCATTTAAATTTAAATACATTACAATTTCATATATAATATTTTTGTATTTACCTTGCAAATCTTTAAGCATACGTGTTCTTCCTCGATGGCTTATTCTAGTGTAAGTTTTAAATAGTATGCTGAACAATTCATCATTAGTAACACAATGCTGGATATTCGTTTCTCATGGTTTTAAGGCTACAACTAATTTTTAGATAATAGTATATCTGTGATTGTCGACATAAACCGGTGATGGTCCGAATGTACGAGAATATAATGAAATACTTGGTCTTTCACCGACGTATTTGGTATGTGTCAACATTTTCCAATTTCGGTCTTTCATAGTAACATATGTTATCTTCGAAACTACTTTTACGCTGCAGTGGGCTGACTATATCATCATTATGTGAAATGTGTGAAATTGATATGTGAAAGTTAAAAAGTAGGTGAGCATTACTGAGGATTTTGTGAGATGTTTTTAAACAGATGTGATAGTTTAAGTAAACATTATTTTTCATTCGAATAAGGCCTGGAGTTTTGTAAATGTTAGGATTTCTACAACATACTTTTGACATCCGCTGATTTCGAATATGCTAAAATTGCTTTTCTGTAGCAATAAATATATATTTCTGGTTAGCTCTTTCAATTAACAAAGAACGAAATGATACATTTTAAAAACTTTGTATTAATAATACTTACTTATTATAAACAAGAATATTGTTATAAGATATAAGAACAACATAATTATCAGTGGTCTATAAGCAACGTTGGCGTATATATCTTTCAATAAAAAAATTGCTTATTACGTCTTGTTCTTTAAAGGTGAAGGTCTGATTTTACATATAATTTGTATCATACATTAAACCCATAATCCGCGTATTGATTTTCACATAAAATGTGTATCAACACACAGCGAAGAGCGCGAACCTATTCAATGAATCGTCTTTCTAAAAGAAAATGATTTTCGGAATTCTCTAATTTCTGGCCGCATTTTTCAGGCATTAAATTTCTTCTTTGCTTTTTTATATGTATTGAATTAGTTAGTAAAAGCAGAAACAAAATATATCTCCTTGCATGAATTGTTTTAAAAATGTGAATATGCACTGACTGAAAAAATAAATATGTCTCTTATCATAATTAATAATTGAAACACAAACGAATAAAACTCATAAATGAAAGCGAAGTTAAAATCATGAAAATTAAAATTCTACACGTATCTGCTAGTGTATTGGTTTAGATTTTCATTTCAAGAATAGATCGTCTAAAGAGTTGAGAAAAAGATTTTGAAATTCTCGAAAATCGCAATTCGTACAGCATTTGTTGCCTTCTCAAATATCATTATATAGCGTATTTTTATTTACTTAGCTGGAGCGTAGCAGCGTCTAATTTTTTTATTACGGTATACTTTTAGATGATTAGATTCATATACATATTATTAAAAAATATTAAAAGTTCAAGTTTGCCAAGATTTTTCTTGTAAGATGCATTAATTTCATAAATCAGAATCTTGCCCTTCTTGTTGTAAAAATATCTTTAATAAGCATTTTACTATGAATATTCTTGATTAATTTCCCAGTTGATTTAAAGATTCATTCTGTATTAAAGAGCATTCTTTGTATGCATATGTGTGCGTCTGTATGTGTCCGTATGTTAGCTTATTTAATTTTTTTTTAAACAATACATACCCAATAATTCTTTTTCATGTAGAAAAAGAATAAAAAAGACATGTGTTATTAATTCGTTACCTAAATTATAATGAGAAAAATTATTTAATGGTTTGTAGTTCATTTGTTTACGACTAATTACTTAAAAAACAAAATTTCTTATTACTTTTTTGTAGTACACGAAGCAAAATTAAAACTAAGTCCTAAGATGCAGAAATTCAGTTGCATTTTTCTTATTTATAGATTTTTTTTTTTAATGTGTGTGTGGGGAGGGAGACATCAAGGTGATATTCTAAACTTCTTTCTCTTTATCTTATGTGTGCAGTCAACAGAAGCAGAAGCCTCACCTCAGTTACATGCTATGCTGACAAGTATTTCTTACAATTTGGCTGATTACATGAAAAAGAAAAAAATGATTAGCTCTGCTTTGCAGTCTGTATTGGATGTCAGGATAGAATCAGATTTTGTTGAAGCAGGAAGTCTTGGTATGTAAATATGTACAGTTACTATAGCAATTTTGCTTTAATCTGTATGGTGTTATGTAAATATCTAAAAATGTTATGATACATTTTGATTTAAATTAAGAGAAGGAAGCTAGTGCTGCACATTGGTTATCAAAAAGCCTAGGAGATATTTAATTTTTGAGTGCTTCAGCCGTTTTCTTCTTTAATTTTAATGTTTTATATTAAATTTATTATTCTTGAATTATTTTACGTTTGATTTAATTTCCTTGAGCAAGATTAAGTTAATGAAAAATACAGCTATTGATTCATATAAATATGTGGCTTTTCTCGCATTCCATATTCATTTATAAATCTTAAAATAATACTCTGAAAGATCACTAAAATTTAAAAGTAGCATAATTTAAAGAGCATTAACAGTCTTATGTTTTCTGAAAATTCTAGTAAAAACGTATGCATATATACTCTTTTGAAAAAAAAGTCGAAGCACCAAGAAGGACTTTTGCTATCGTGACGAAATTTGGTATACAAAACCATCTTGATCAAACATGCAAATGATCAAAATTTCAAGACAAATGAACAGGAATTGCGATCATAGCGCGCATTTCTAGTGCACAATTCGCAAAGTATAAAACCAGTAACAGAGGAGGAAAATTTATCTTTTTTTGTTGCTGCCATTGTAATTCCGTACAGAAGCAACTAAAGATGTCATTACAATGATATCGAAAACCTTACAGACAACTAAACGACTTCGAAAGTGGTCGCATTGTAGGGTTGCGTAAAGCTGCTTGGTCATACCGAGCAATAGGCCGCCACCTGCAGCGAACAGACGCAGTATTTATCGCTATTCTTTATATTACAGGTGACATACTATATATGTCACTAGACATGAATAAAGTAAATTTAACTAGACATGAATAAAGTAAATTTAACTAGACATGAATAAAGTAAATTTTCATGTCTATGAATAAGCGTTTATTCAAATTTAAAAAAAAATGTTGGAAAACAAATGCAGAAGGAGAAAGAGAAACAAGTCCAAAATTGTGACAATAAAAATGATCAAGGTACGTAATATAAAATTTTACAAGGTATACATCTTTAAGACCATTGTGGAGAATATTTTTAAATGTAGTTATAGAGCTTTAATGCCAATTCTTATTAATACTTTAGAGAGAGACGTCTTATTTTCAAATTTGTTTCAGAATTCTTGTATGTTATTACACATATGTTAAATTAGGTGAGACAAAATGATGTTACATAGAATTTGATTAACACAAGTGTAACAACATGTTGCCGCTATTTACATCTGTATATGTCTCTTAACAACAGCCTTGCTACTAGCTCTTTATATCTTCAGAGATAATGTATGGTGAGGGATACAACGACAGGAAATTTTTAGATAAAAAAGAATAGCTGCCTCTGTGTGTTTCGAGAAGGATGTTGACGAAGATTATTGCTATCCGAAGGGCATTCTTTTTATATTGAACGGAACTTACGACCGGATGAAACGTAGGCTAAACCATATATCATATATGTTTATTATCTAAGATATATAAGGTATTTTATGTTAATTAACAAGTTTTTATGATTTGAATGTTTACTATAACTTCTCCATTTCCTTTAGCAGAATGCAAATGAGCTAGTATTCAAATGTTTACATAATAAAGATTTTGGCAACGACTCTCGCAACATTAAATTCTATCGTTCAGCTCTACCTGTTAATATATATTCCGACATCAGCCATATGCTAGCGGACGTTAAATCACGCTATTAAGTGCTTAATTAGCCAAATCTGTGTATCTCGGGCTACGATCCCATTTCAAATTGTAAATTCAAATTTATGTTATTTTATAACCCGCAAGTGGCGGAGTTTTGAGTGTATGCATAAATTATACTTTATGTTCAATTCAAGCTTAAATAATTAAGTTTAGTTAAAATCTTTGTACGACTATTTTGTGCATTTTCAGACAGAGCAATGATAATTCGTTTGTCTAGTAAGGTGACTTAAATGCACAATTAGGACCTTATAGATATATCAATAATTCTGATCTTTGGCAGACATGTATTATCATATTCCCCCGACTGTAACAACATAAAAATTGGCATAAATATTTCGTACCATTGACAGACTCTTTCTAAATGTATAGAATATGAGTATATGATGGAGATCGGTGTAATCTTTTGATAGAGGCTTTCTACAACCTGCATCGTCATTGGGAGAAACACTGTGTTTAGTAATATTCTATTTTGTCTAGCAAGGTTAAAGCATCTTCGTTACCAACAGATTGGTTGTTTGATTTTAAACGTAAATTCAGTTTATCCATAAGCAGAATACCATGTTTCTCTTTTACTATGTTTTAAAAAATTAAAATGAAGTAAAAGAAAGCAGCTGCAATGATACCTTGCAGTTAAACATGTTTTTTACATGAGCTTAAATCTTCTGAATACTGCTGTAGAAAGAGGTACTTTGATTGTGTTGTGGTATCTAGTTCTCTTCGCTAACATAAAATATGACTAGATCTACCTAAGAATTAATCCTTGCGAATTCTCGCACAGGCTTGAAGATGAACGCAGCCAGAGAAAGGGTGTAAAAGACACCCATTTTTTTAATACAATATAATTTACAGACAGCACTGACTTACTTCCTTACAATCACCGACCACTTGCGGTGTGAAATTTAAAAGATAACGTAACACTAAATTTAAAATTAAAGAGTAGTGCAAGACTACACAATTCAATTTAATCTACCATGTTGATTCAGAACCTACCAGAACGATAATAATTCGGCGGCAAGAATGCGAAGCCGATATTCAAGTTTAACAGCTGGAAGAAATAGCAATGTGCACTCGCAATAGCGAAATCACGCTCTCTAATACTGTCTTGTTCACCCTAACTAATTTACATTCTGGCGAGGAAACGCGAGGGGAATAAGAGAAATCAGGAAAGGCTCGCAAATTAAAATAACTGTTTGTAAAAATAAATAAAACCTTACAACCTTACGTCTTTGTAAAGAGTGAGTGAGGTTTTTGGCGCAAAACCAAAGATGATTATAATGCGCCAAACACAAGGTTGGATGATCGAAATTGATGAAATTAAAATACAATAAATAAAAACAGGTGGACACATCTTTGTAAAACAAGCATGAAAAAAAAAATAAATAAAGTGCCTAATTTTTTAACTGATACCATAGTTCTCATGTACTTTTTCGCTATATTTTAGTGCAGGTTCTCAAAATTTTAAAAATATTCGTGTATTTTTCTCCCTTCTCAATGCGTTCAAAGAATGAGCTCCCTTAAATTTAAAAATGGATTTGCCTACAAAGTGATTGTTTTTGTCTTACAGAGACAAACCCTTGCAAAGTACTTGAAAAAGTCACACCAAACCTTGCTTTTCTAACTATTGAACTTAATGCCAGCCTAACACAAGAACTGACTGACTACAGTGTTACTAAATACTTCCTGCCTTTGTACCATATCTTTTATATCCGATGTATTTTAATTGTTCTGTTGCTCTTGGCTAATACTTATCTGAAGGCGTTATAAATTTTGCATTTCCTAATATAGCACAAACTATGTATTCTTGTTGTCTTGTTTGAACGATTAGCGAAGCTCCTATGATATGATTAGTATTATGATTATTAGACAGGGCTGGCATTAGACATTTTACTGCGCAGTATCTGCGCTTCTCAATTCTAGCCCTCCATGCGGCCGTACTCTTACACTGGCTATTATTAAACTATAAACATTTTATCTAATATTAAATATTGCACTGTTACATGCTCTTATATATAATTATTGTAGTCTTTTATATTTATTTCTCTGTATTACAAAATAATGTTGCGAAAAAAAGCAAAGCTGCTAAGGATATTCCAAAATTTCTGTGCATCAGAAAGGGGCATGGTTGGAATTTTTGAGGATACCTGCCATACAGCTTATTTAGAACAAAGCTAATTTGAAACTGCTTTCAGAGTCCTGTCATGTTAAAATAAATTTTTGATATATTTTGTACCCGGTTGACCTTTGTTGATGGTCATTCATAATCCTGAAATTCCATTAAAAATAATACTGCAAAAGAGAAAAAGACTTACTCTGTGGTTAGATGTTTCAGTAACGTTGTCAGAATTCATGACAAGACCATTTTCTTTGGCTATCTGATTTGATCTGTTTCGCAGGAAGGCTTATCTGATAGCTTAGGACCTCATTTTAATATTTCATGGTTTGTTCTTTTATTCCATATTATTATAAGTAAAAAATGTTATATAAGTATTCCTCAGCTTAGGACGACTTGCTTTTATGAGGGCCGAAAACTAAAATTCAAAATCCTCCAATTTAAGTTTATAGCCGGCATAAATATACACGCATTGTTTTTGTACACGCAGTGCACCGTTAAAACGTCGCTACATTAGTAATATGCTCTTTGTGGCCTTTACTAAAGAAAGGAATAACAAGGAAGAGAAAAGCCTAAAAACATTTACTACAAAAGGATTAACTGAAGCATTTTCTAAATTATATGATAATTTCAGCTACTCGGAAATATGAATAAAAATATTCATAGTTTCGCGAAAAGTGAAAGGTAAGTTTATGCAGTCGTCGGATGTTATAGCAACATTTATAAAGAAAAATCAGATTACATTTTTGACTGAATCAAACAATGAAACGAAATTTTTTGATTAAACAATTGCCCTCTTTTGCGATGAATCATCAGAATGGATAACCATTACTCACCTGTTATTTTTAATTAAAGACATTCTTTATATGTTTTTCTGTTTTTGTTGATATTAACCAATTTAAAAGAAGAGTATGCGTGTATGTTTACAGTGCATATGTATATGTATACAAATAAATTATAAATTGCTTATAAAGGTTACTTAAGTTAACATTCTTAAATCCATTTCATATTAAATAAACGCCTAATATATAAAATATTATCCAACCTATCAAAAATGAAATAAGTACCTACCTTTGTCAGAATCGACTTACAATGGGATCTGCTTTTAATTTAATTTATTTTTTACCTTTCAGTGAATAAGATACAAATACAGTGACTGAGAAATTTAACTTAAATCTAAGCAGCAGGCAGTGATTTTTATTGATTTTTTTTTCTTTGCAGGTGTTCATCAGAAATATTTAGTCCCCTTTGTGACTTCCTTGTGCCTTGCTATGTGTGGTATAGCAGTAGTAATTATGATTTTCATCCATAAAAAACAAAAAGGTCATCGGACAGAAAGTGCATGTTCTTCACTTTCAAGCAATGGAAATAAAACTGAGCATGAAACATCATCATCAACGAATAACTTAGTGAAAGACAACTGGAAAAGATATATAAATAAACTACAAACTCTCCCTGATCAGGGATCTACTATAGTAAATGAGAATATGCTTAATACAGAATCACATTTTAGTGAAATACCAAATAAAATTTACAAGGCAGTATCCCCAGAAATTAATAAAAATATAGCCCTTTCTCTGCCTTTTAAAAAGAATTTCGAAAAAAATGATTTAAACGCTTCTCAGAAACAGGAAAGCTTTCCTGAGCAAGAATTAATTGTGTAATAACAAAGAATGTCCATGAGCACTGTATAAATTATAAATAAGTTCCCTATTTAATGTAAGAAATTTGGTTAAGAACACTTTTGTGTCAGTTTGACACTGTCATTAAAAGATGTACAAATTTGTGATTTGCATTTACGTAGATAATGCTTAGTTTTCTCAATTTTGACATGTTGGTTGATTTTGCTAATGTGAAGTATTTCTTTCTGTTTAAATATGAGTTCTAAAAATGTTTGTTATTTATTTCTTTGAAAGCGTTTCGGCTTTCCTGAAATTTTTAGGAAAGTAAACAAATATTAACATTGTTTTGAGTCATGTAAATAATGCCTGTGATAAAATGTCTTCTGTAAGAGTTAATGCTGAATTGCGTTAACTAAAAAAAAAAAAAGAAAAAGAAAAAGAAAGAAAGAAAAAGTAAGCACTTTTGAATTTTTAATTCATAAGAAAAGATGATTTTTTAAAATTGTATAAAGTTAATTTTAAACAGTATTTCTTTTCTTTTGACACATGTTTGTATTGGACAGTTTAAAAGGAGTGTATGAAGTCGTATAACAAGTAAATATGAGTATCAAAAGTATAGTCATGCTTATTTCATGTTATTGCTTTTAGCTTATAATTCCTTTCCCCAACTTTTTTGTACACATGTAAATATGTTTCACGATTTATAAAAAATATTTTATCACTCAGTGTTTGTAGTATGTAAAGACTTGATATACTGAAAATGCAGAACTAGATTTGCATATTCACTACTAGACCTTACTATGCATTTTCATCGTTGTGCGATCTTAGAGACCGCAGACATAAATTGAATACAAACTGAATATTTTATTATGTATGATCAATCTCATGATTTATTTATTTCTTAGCTATGATATAAAATGCTTTTAAGGATAGACATACGGATTCTGTGCTGAAAAAGAGGCGAAAAATTCTTTTGTTAGCACAAAGTTTATAGCTAGAGTAAAGTCGCTGTCTGTAAGACTGCGCTTCAGTAGCTGAAGATAAACTTCTGTCTTAATTTAGAAATATATCTCAAGTTTTTGTATTAAATAACGCTATCTATAATATAAGATTGAATTTTGGAACAAAATATATATCAAAATCATGTTGTTTGTTTAGTGAAACACTGCAGTGTACTGTCAAAATCATATACGTCTAAACTAAAACTTTAAGCTAAGAAGGCTCAAAAATAATTATTTTATGTCTTAATACAAAAAACAAAAGTGGAGTCTTGATCTATCGTTTCTAAATTTAAAATGTGTCATAAGCTATACACATTTTCCATTCATAGTCATAGTATGTTATATTGTATTTATCATCCTGTATGCATTTTGGTGTAATGAAATGAAAAAAAAGCTATACATTGGATTTAAACATAGTATAGTTTTAGTAAACATGCATTTCACGATGATAAATATACAAAACACAGAATCTGTTACATTCCGCTTTCGATTTGAGTATGAATTTCATAAAGCAGAACGCTACATAAAGTTGTGGTCTAACTATCCGTTACGGTCACAGCACATACAATATTCCATTTCGGTTGCAGCAGGCGTGATGTTCCGTTGTGGTTGTACAGCAAATATGATAAGAGTGCCAAAACATCATGATATATTATACAAAATTTCATTTTGCCTTAGTGCCCACCAGCGGCTGAGTGGTAAAGTCGCTGAACAGTAGTAGTTTGGTCTGTGGTTGGAGTCCCAGCGAACAAGTTGCCTGCCTGGATGTTTTCATGGTTTTCCCATGTGTATACGAACCAGCTTCCCTTAGAAAGTCCTACACATCCTTCCGCTTAGGCAGATAGCCTGCACGTGTTTTGCCATAATTAAAACAAACCAAATAAAAACCGTTTTGCCTTTTTTTATGTTTTCTCATTTTTATTTGGTAGTTACATCTGTATCTAGTATTAAAAAAAAATGCTAAGTTAATGTTCTTATACGTGTAAACTTTCCTTATAATACCTTTTTATGCGTTTGGAAGTTTTTATGCGTCTTGTTTTAAATGATGCTTTTAAAAAAAAGTAAATATAATTTAAAAAAAATAGCTGTAAAATAAGTTATTTATTTCTCTCCAAGAAAATTTATACATGCATGCATATCTGTTTCATTCTGCTGCATTATTTTCAAAATACTTCAATAAACTCTTAACAGAGGAATTTGAAATGCTTAGACGCTGTTAACACTTATTTAAGTTACAAAATTCTTGTGTCAAATTCTTATCGGTGCAACATGTTTTAAATTTAAATTAAATAAAATTAATAAAAAATTTTAATTTAATGCATTTTCTGAAAGACCTTTACAGCGGTAAGAGATTTTAAAAAATATATTCTGAAAAAAATAATCGCAGCTTACCTAAAAGTACTTTTCTGATTTTGTCGAATTCGTAGAAATACTTTTAAATTTAGTTTTGCACCCAGTAATGATGTGATTTGTTTTAAAGGTCTTTTTCTCAAGTACAAAATTCCACTGTTAACAATTTTTAAACGTTTATTAATGGAGATCAGGTCTAAATTGCAAACCCATTTCCGAATTCAGTGGCCTCGAATTAACAAACTTTTTTTATTCTCCTTCCCATAATATTGTGTTGAATAGTGATTGATCCTGATGACCTGAGATATCGGATGCTCATTGTTTCAAAATTTCAATAGAAACTGCCTCTCAGTTGAACTAAAATATCTACAAAACAGTAAACTTAAATTTTCAATATCAGTTTGAACAGAAATTCCTTTGCGTTACTGGAATTTTTCTACCGGTTTAATCCGCAGAGCCGGAGCATTAGAGAAGGCCACATGGAACCACGAAAAATATTAATTATAACATTAATAAATAAACAATAATTAGTAGTTATAACTAAATAAAATATGAAGCATTGAAAATTAGGGGGTCATAAATTAAAACTAACGCATGTTCTGACTGAAATGGAATAAGAAAGCAAATGCAAGGTGACTAAATTATTGATAATAAGAACAAGGTACACTGAGAATGAAAGAAAGGTTCTGACCAGTATATTTCTTAGCAATCAGATACGATTACTTTCTTAATTTAACTTCTAACTCATTTAAGCCTTCTTGCCCGGATAGAAAGAATCCATACATATTTTCTTTTAAAGAGACGGCATTTTGAAATGAGGGTTGTTCTTTTATGAGGGAAAGTGAAGCATATACTGAGCATCAATATGAGTTTTATTAACTGCTAAAAGAAATGTTACTACATTAACTCTGCTTACATTAGGATTCAGTTAAACAGCAAAATACTGGAGCTCATCTATCTCACTTAGGCCCCATAGCGTTCCGGCTAGAGTTCGTTGAGAAACTGAGAAAGCTACAGCCGATTTTTAAAGTCTGACAATCACTTAATCATAAGAGGACTAAAATACAGAAGCACAAGAGTGAAAAAAGATCTTATGTTTTTCATGATTAACGATATTGTCTTTATGTTAGCTAATGACTAACTTAAATACAAGATTTAATTTTTACGCTTGTTGTTCAATGAATAATTTATATAATTAATTTACTTAAGTTAATATGCATATCAAGTCTCTGAATAACGTCCCTTGAGATTTTGCATATGTAAAAGCAATTTCTGTAATGTGGATTTTATTAACAACATAGTTTTAATTTTTAGATGCGATTTTCAAAATCAAAGCCAGTTGTTAAGAAAAATGTTTGCAATTAAATTCTATAGGTACTCGTTTGATTCTTCCAATTTATCCAGGCGATATGTCACAATATCAATGTTTAAGTTTAAAGTAATTTAAGAAAATTGTTCTCTTTTGAATCAGTTTCAACATTCCCAGTTTGTGTCTTCCTTGATCAAGGCTCCACTACACTTTAAATTTAAAAATAATTTTCGCTCAAGAAAATGGATTAAAATGTGTATTCCAAGACTGCATTGCAAGTACATACGTATTTTAAACGTACATTTACGTATTTTAAACACTGCATTAGACATGCAGTATTTAAAATACGTACAAGAAGAATATCCGAAATTTTCAAATTGTTTGTCACAGCAAACAAAATCTCTTGATAAACCTGTTACTTATCAAGCCAGCAATACACCGCGTAGTCTAAATTTGAGTCATTTTTTTAGCTCTACTCTAGTTCTGATTACGTGGTCTTTTTGACAAAATTCCACTTTTTAGCTTTTTACTCAGAGACAGCAAACGCAACACCATAAGAAACTTTTATATAAGTACTTAAGTTTAACATAGCTGTGTACGGCTAGTGTTTATTCTAAACAGTTTTAAGGTTAGATCCCCCCACAGTATGAATATTAAAGAAAGCAGTATATCATATGTTTTCATGCTACATTCCTCACTACTCGCAAATTCATGTATATTAGCTGTACGTGCACTCAATTCTGTTCAAAAACAAATTAAAGTAAGACGATTCATTTTAATAGTATAAACTATTTTAATATTTTACACGCTTCTATCTAAAATGCTATTGAAATAGATACAACAGATGAACCTTTAATGTAGTGCTTAACAATATGTAGACAAACTTAATTTTAATCTTAAAAAAAGTCTGCCATGTATTTTTTGAAAAAATACGTAAAGTAGTGAAATATTTTGAAGTACAAATCTTCAGAGTCCATTATTACTAAATGTGTGAAAAAATATGCTTCATTTAACCTATTTATTTGCAAGCAATGTAGGTTTAGTTTTAAAAAAAATTCTTTGAAATTCTTTTTTTTCTTAATAAAAATAAGAAGAGTAAGAGTATTATCACAATATGTGTATTTCTCCAAGTAATCTTCTTTATCTGTTTGATGCAAGAGTGTCGTCTGCTTTAGTGATAAAAATTACCTTTGGCCTATTTTTCTTCGCTACAGTATTTTCAGTGTAAAGATATTTAGTTTGTTCTGGATAGAGAAACAAAACCATCTTATAGTTTTAAAATATATGCAAGTCAATAAAGCTAAGTAAAAATCATTTCCTGGAAAGATATGTTGTATATTTATTATAATTTTAAGTGCAAATTTCTTCATGCACAAAAAATATTCACATTGATGTCAATAAAAAAGACGAAATGAGGAAGGAAAGTATCATGGCATGAAAATTCACGAAAAGACTTAAAATGAGAAAATTTTTTCTTATTTTAGCAAAATGTTGCCTGCATATTTAACCTTGATATTTCTCAAAAACTGAAACTGGAAGTATCATTCGTTTCTCTTATTTTATGTAATTCTAAAACTCAGTAAGCTACTTGTACTGAAAACAAAAACTTACATTTGCAGTTACATAAAAACATATTTTTTCTTTGTCAGTGTCCTGAATTATAGAAAAACTTATTTCGTTTCTAAATTTTGTGTCCCCCCCAATGTTTACGTAAATCACATATTTTATTAAATGGATAACTTTGAATTTTTGAGATTTACACTCATTAAATTAATATACCAAAAACATCCAATAAATTCATGTATATGGAGACCTAACACAGACTATCAGAAAGTCGACAACATTTCACACATTGAACTAATAAAAAATATTTCATTGTGTTGCATGACATTTTGGGTCATGTTTGTGATTTGATGTTGTTTGCTAAAATATTTTGTTGGCAAAAGAGAATATATTCGACACAAAATTAGTAAATTTTATATATTTGTAAAAATGAAAATAACTATTTCTACTAAAAGATTTGTCATTTTTTTGATTCAAAAGTCTTATATTATAGATTGCATAGG